GCCCACAGGCCCCCAGCTGCAGCTCCTGGCCCAGGCACCCCGGACATCTGCCTGTGGTCACTGCAAGATGAAGCTGTGGCTCCATTCCACGCTGCACCTTGCACAAAATCCACTTTCCTGGGGCTGTAACTGAGCCAGAGTGCACTGGGAAAAGCCAATCTCATCTCCAGGCCAGGCCAGGAGAGCAGTGACACAGAGCAGGCAATCCTGTCCTCAGTCTAAATGACTTTGCTACTGACAATAATTTAACTCCAAGAGCTGTTTTAATTAAATGCAAATATTAATTAATTTGCCTCATAATAATATTAGTTTTAAGAATTTGAAATGTATATTCTTAACATCTAAGCTGAGCTTTACAATCTATACTGCCTAGAGAGTTGCAATGAAAATTAATTGAACTTGTTTTCTCTAAAGATATTTTGCATGAGCTTCAGCTTTTTTTTTCAGTTTCTACTTTATGCAAGGCTTGCACTTCACACAGGAGAGAATTTTAATCAGTGTCTTTTCCATCTTGGGATTGCTGAAAATCAGAATAAGGGAATGAAGACCCGGAAAAGCACGTTGAATTAAGTAACTAAGAAATATTACATTATTTTCGTTCTTAAGTGAATAAATGAGAGTCAAGACCAAAAACAAAAAGTTGATGCTGTACATCACTAAGAAGGAGAGGACAGATTTCATGGCTTTGATGTGGGCATCCATGCTGAGGTCCTTCATGGAGTTTGTCTGCATCTTGTGTTTGTGTCTCCAGAGAGAAAAGAGAAGGAAAACAGCAGAAAAGATGACTGCCATGAAAGCAGTGGTATGTAAAAAGCCAGTGAGAAAATAAATAGGAAAAAAATGTTCCTCTATTCCGTTAGCTGCTTTCAAAAGTCTTTCTTGGCAGGTAAAATTGAAGGTCTTACAGACAGCTTTATCAATAGTGTTGTAGACAAGAATTCCAATAATCAGGGAGAAGATCACTGACCCCAACAGAACCCAGGGCACCATCATGTCAATTTTTACTTTCAGGTAGATAAAAAACCTGTTCCTGAAATTGGCAATTTTTATACAATAAAAAACACAAAGACAGGCAGAAAACCACAAGTTGGAACTATTAAAAAAGCTGTAAGAACCTTGAAGGAGTTGAAGTATGGGATGAACCAGAAGGCAATAGGGGAAAATATTTGAGAGAAAGTCATATATCCATGAGAAACACAAACAGCAAAACCTAGAGCATCCAAGTAGCAGCAAGATCTTCTCATTAGAGTTCAGAGTTTTCTTTTTGACCCAGGCAATGCAAAGCACACAAATGATAAAAGCATTTATCCACACGCCAGCAAACACCTCCAGGGAGAGGATGGCCACAGTTGTGACCCCATATGAAGTGACATTGGATTGCTGTGAAGAGTGACAAGCTTCCATGCTGCGAGCTGGGGAGCAGAGCTGTGCTGGCCAAGGGCGCTGTGGCAGCAGAGCCTGAGGCCGGTCAGTGGCTGCTCTTGTGGAGTGTCAGGGGTGGCAAGAGGAGCTTGACAGAGCTGCTGCTGCTGCTGCTGCTGCTGCTGCTGCTGCTGCTGCTTTTGCTGCTGCTGCTGCTGGGGGGATTTTGGTGCTGCTGCTCTGGGCAGCAGGGCAGGTGCAGGGATGTAAATGTGCTGGGTATCCCCTTACTCGGGGCCAGTGTCACTCTTGACTATTTGAATGTTGGTTTTGGGGCATGTGTTAGGTGACACAAACAGCGGAGAGATGTTTTTCTGTGGTGGAGAGTGCTGTCATTTTGAGACTGATCCCTGTTTGACCAGTGTCAGGCCTGAGGATCTCGGTTTTTCTGTCCCTTCTTTACCTATGATGATCATGTAGAGCCCTGGCTGTGGTCAGCAGGTCAGGGCACTCACTGTCCTTCTTAGTCTGAGAGTCTGGGTGCTGCAACCTTCAACCTAGATGCTGGAATAGTGGACTTTATTTTGATCCTTCACAGGCATTGAAATCTATGTTTGTTTTACCAATAGTATTCCCTTAAGAGTAAGTGAAGGGCCACTTAGTGGGGCAGGTGAAGGGAGTCTCATAATGTAAAGCTGGAATTTTTGCAGGTTTAATTTGGAGCATATGGAGGAAAAGGGTAAAAATCAGTACAAGTGCCTGTGCCAGAGTTCCAATCTCATCTGCTGGGAAAGTGAAGGCTTTTAAAGATGGCACCATGCTGGATTTCCTCCACACTGCAATTATCTTAATCTTCCAAATGAATTTATACCCTGAAAGCTGTGAGGTTTCTGCCAGGCAAGTTGTGTTAAGCTCTGTAGGGCATGGACTGCCCATGCACTTCAGGTTAGTACAGGACCTGTTACATTAGGCCTTGCACATCAGGACCACAGTAACCAAGGAGATCTCATCTGATGCTCTGGTGGAATCAGGAAAAATGAAACCCCAACAAAGAGCTCTATGGCTACAGGAAATGAACCACCAGCATTTTCTGTCTTCCAAATGATGATAGCCATGATTTCTGAGGGATATAAGAGCCAGCAGTATGTCACATGAATATTCATATCACAATATCCTAGTTGCATTATTTTTGTCAATCACAAAGTCTTGGAATGTGACCCAGAGCAGTTTTCCATCATGTCAGCACTGGGCAGCCACTCTCATTGACTTCTGACATCTCTCATGTGTCAGCTTCCCTGGGCTGGGCACATCCTGCATCTGTCCCCATGGGCTGTGCAGGGCAGCTATGCTGATGGACACTCTGTCCCTTCCAGTGCCAGCTGAGTGGGGCTGGGCAACAGGACAGGGATTCTGAGCTGGGTGTCACATTCCCAGGGGTTTCAGGGGATGCAAGGAGGGACCCCGGTGTGGTTTGCTGGGGCTGTGGTGTTTTGTGTGGTAACATCTGCAAGGTGCTGGATTTTCCTGCTAAGTCTTGCAGAATATGAGGTTGTGAGGGATGGATGTTGTACTGCATGTAGGGAATAAGATGGATCTTCCAGGGCTTTCCTGTGAAAGTGGTCAGGACTGTCAGGTTAAAGGATGTTCATGAGCAGCAGCAGAGGAAGAAGGGAGGTGTGGCTGTTCCTGTCCTTTCAAGGCCTTTCACAGGGGAGATGTGTCCAGAAGAGATGCTTACGATGTGCCTTTGGATCTGAGCTGGTGGCAGAAGTGACCAATTCAGGTTCTGTTTTGTATATGCTGGCACTATTTCGTATTTCACCTGCTGTGATGGGTTGACCTCAGGCAGCTGCTAGAACTCCACCCATCTCTTCCTTCTCTCACACCCACAGGCAGGGCAGGGTTGAAAAATAGGATGGAAAAACTCATGGTTTGAGATAAAAGCAGGGAGATCACTTACCAGTTACTGTCATGGACAAAATATATTTGACATCAGGAAAAATAAATTACTTTATTTAAATATAGAAAATAGAATAGGATAATGAGGGAGAAATAGAAAACTTGATTGCACTGCCTCCACACCCCTTTCATCCAAGGCTCAACTTCACTCCATCATCCCCAGCTCCTCCACCTCCCCCACAACAGCAGCACAGAGGCAAATCCAATAGGGGCTGCAGTCAGCTCTTAACAAGTTGTCTCTTCCACTCCTGACTCCTCAAGCTGTTTCCCTGACCGAGAGCAAAGCCTGTTAGCTGGGTGTTCCACTGAGCCAGAGTGCACTGGGAAAAGCCAATCTCATCTCCAGGTCAGGCCAGGAGAGCAGTGACACAGAGCAGGCAATCCTGTCCTTGCAGGCAGTGGGCACAGAGGACACGCAGGGCTGGAGTGGGCAGGGAGCTCTGCGTGTTCACACAGAGCTATCAGCCACTGCCAGACAGGGATACAGCCCATAATACACCACACAGCACAGGGCCACAGCAGGAAAGGTAAACCAAAATAGAGATAAACCTATGTACCGCAGCCATTTCACTCAGTGAATACCAAAATATTTGTGGCAGGTTTGCAGTATTGTTATTTCATTTTTTGCAGCCAGTTTGTGTACCAGTGTTGGATATTTTTCTGTTCCATTAAGAGTATAGAAATTTAGTAGAAAATAAAGCCCTTGCTGGTCTTCAGAGATCAAAGGGTATGGGTGCAGCTCGGCTTAATTTCTGATTATGACAAATTCAGCGCATAAGTCTTGTCATGTTCAATAAGAACTTTCAGAGTCACAGAATCACAAATAATGCATTTTATTGTAGAAATACAAATTGAGAATTGCCACTAATAAATACACTCATTGGATTAGCTCTAAATATATTTAGAAAAAGAGAAGAAGAAAAAACATAAGAGGAATGGGTAATTCATTAAGCACAACTTCACCATCAGCTAGGCCTGTGAACAGAATTTCACCAGGGTACAATCTGACACAGTTGAAAGAGCAAATCTCAACAAAGAGATGTTCCCTGCCTTGGGGAGGAGAGTCAACCAATCCTGTTGTCCTGTCTGCACAGTGGGGTAATATTCTCATCCTCTGCCAGGGAGGATTTCAAATGCCAAGTCTATACTCTTGGGAGAAGTGCAGGTGAAGCTGCAGTCAGAATACATTATTGCTGCCGTGGTAAATGGTGGTGGGCAGCCAGCTGCTATGGAGATGAGGGATACCCAGGGTTCTGATTGCAAAGCTGTGAGTCTTGGGCAGAGGCTGAACACCTAATTAGCATCACCCCACTGAGCTCAGGCAGAGGTTAAGGGCCTCTGCCTGATGATCCATCCCCCCACCAGCAGGCTCTCATGTCCACATTAATCCCTTAACCACACAGGGGCTTAGGCATCATTCCTACCATCAGGGCTAAATGACTTTGTTAACAACAAAAATTTATCTCAAAGATTTAGCTAAATCTAAAAATGATAATAATCTATTTAGCTCAAAATAATTGAGGTCAATAGATATGAATGAAACGTTATTAACTTGGATGTTGAAGACTGAGCATCAGAATCATCTACACTGCCTGGAGAGCTGCAGCAAAAATTCAATTACTTGTTTTCTACAGTAAAAGATCAACATTTTGCATGGGCTCCAGCTTTTATCACAGTTCCTACTTTGTGGAAAACTTGCACTTTACATAGGAGAGAATCTTCAGCAGTGCCTTTTCCAGCTTGGGATTGCTGAAAACCAGAATAAGGGAATGAATATCTGGAAAAGCACACAGATATATGGATATAAGAAGTATCATGGTATTTTCACTCTTCATGGAATAAATTATTGTTAAGACCAAACATACAAAGTTGATGCTGTACATCACTAAGAAGGAGAGAACAGATTTCATGGCTCTGATGTGGGCATCCACGCTGAGGTCCTTCATGGAGTTTGTCTGCATCTTGCGCTTGTGTCTCCAGAGAGAAAAGAGAAGGAAAACAGCAGAAAAGATGACTGCCATGAATGAAGCAGCATATCCAAAGCCAGCAAGAAACAAAGATGAGAAAAAATGTTTATCTGTTGTGATTCTTGCTTCCCAAAAATTTTCTTGGGAGGTGAAAGTGAAGTTGCCACTCTGCAGAATTTCAGCGATGTCATAGATAACAATGCAACTTGCCAAGGCTAAAATCTCTGACCCCAACAAGAGCCAGGGCACCATCCTGTCAATTTTTACTTTCAGGTAGATGAAGAACCGGTTCCTGAAATTGGCAATTTTTATGCAGTAGAAACCACAAAGACAGGCTGAAACCCACAAGCTGGAATAATTAAAAAAGGTTAAGGAAGATGCAAGTACTTGAAATATCGGGCGAACATAAAGGTAATTGGGACAAATTATTGAAAGGAAGTAGTTTACCCATGAGAAGCACAAAAAGGAAATCCTGGAGCATCCCAGCAGCAGCAAGATCTTCTCATTTGAGTTCAGTGTTTTCTTTTTGACCCAGGCAATGCAAAGCACACAAATGATAAAAGCATTTATCCACACGCCAGCAAACACCTCCAGGGAGATGATGGCGAAAGCCATGACCCCATATGAAGTGACATTGGATTGCTGTGAAGAGTGACAAGCTTCCATGCTGTGAGCTGGGGAGCAGAGCTGTGCTGGCCAAGGGCGCTGTGGCAGCAGAGCCTGAGGCCGGTCAGTGGCTGCTCTTGTGGAGTGTCAGGGGTGGCAAGAGGAGCTTGACAGAGCTGCTGCTCCTGCTGCTGCTGCTGCTGCTGCTGCTGCTGCTGCTGCTTTTGCTGCTGCTGCTGGGGGGATTTTAGCAGGGCAGGTGCAGGGATGTAAATGTGCTGGGTATCCCCTTACTTGGGGCCAGTGTCACTCTTGACTATTTGAATGTTGGTTTTGGGGCGTGTGTTGGGTGACACAAACAGCAGAGATGTTTTTCTGTGGTGGAGAGTGCTGTGATTTTGAGAGTGATCCCTGTTTGACCAGTGTCAGGCTTGAGGATCTGGGTTATTCTGTCTCTTTGTCACCAATGATGATCTCTCAGAGTGGAGCTTGCACTGAACAAAGCACAGCCAGGGCAGTGAGGTGAGTAATCAAGTCAGGGAATCCAATTCTGAAATACATTCATATTGATCTGCTCTACCCTTTGTGTTTTGTCTCTTCCTACCAGTATGAGCTCAGTACAGGCCAAGAGAATATATAGATATTTTCTAAGTAGTTTAGGGAATTATCTTTGTTGCTATCTGAATTTATATACTATTTTAAGTTTTGAATAATACAGGACTAAAAATAAATGGTACACTAATTTTAGAATCAAATGTATCTGTCCTGTATTTTCTTTTACTGGTCCTGAGCTCCAAGTTGACAACATTTCAGATTACATTATAACATGCAATAAAATTTTCCACTGGTACCTGAACAATGCCCTGAATGTCCAAAAGCCTGCTTGTTTGTCTCAGCACTATCAGTTTATCTAATAAGATATTATCTCTCTATGACCTTTTCCAAAACTACTCCAGCTAGGGAATTTTGCTAACACCTTTCTGCTCTTTCATCCAGGCAGATATTTTTATATATGCTCATATTTTTAATGTACACTTATTCATTCTTTCTATCTAGAATTACAGATATTTATAATACTTTAAAAGCAGAGCAACCACTGTTTTTATCCTCTGCTGTGTATTTCAGATCTGAATGCTGAAGTTGTTAACCTGGAGGCATTTCACAAGTTCAGTCTTTTGTTGATTTCAAGCCCTGCAACGGTAAACAGACTTACCTAAAAATTGGGAAGGTGGATGGGTAATTTTTTTTATTAAAAAATGTGGTTGGTGCCAGCCTGATATGAGTGCTAGTTTTTCGAGCTCAGGAGACATTTGTTTTTGTTCTTGCTTTTATGAAGGAAATAAATTTCAGCCACATTTCTGTGTCGGAGTTTTTCTGTGTTACTGTGGAGTTAAAACCAGCGCAAGCAGATTAACAAAAGGTATTATCTGCATTTAGTGACACCAGGTAGTGCCTGTGCCTAGGAATCCAGGGTGGACCTTGTCTGTGGGAATACTGATGCACAGCAGTTTTGGGCACTTCATACAATGTAGTGTAAGAGACCAAGGGGCACCTGCTGTACTTCCCAGAGTGGAATAGAAGCAGCTTTACCCATCACCAAGTTTTCACAGAACTGCAGCTAATGGAATAATGTGCATGCACTGCTCTTTCAGGGAGGACAAAATGAAACTGGCGCTGGAGTCCCTCTGCTATGGAGACAGACTGGGAGCTGGGGCTGTTCAGCCTGGAGAAGAGAAGGCTCCAGGGAGACCTTAGAGCCTAGGCCAGTGCCTAAAAGGCATCCAAGAGAACCCCTATATATATATGAAAACAAATATATGCCCTCAGAATGACTTATCTTTAGACATCTGCTTTAGGTGCTTGAGTTATTTTAAAGTTAAGGGTACTAAAACCCAAATGTTTTTCAGACAGCTCTACTTTTGCTTCATTTTTTTATTTTTTGCTTACTTTCTCACATCCACTGCCAAACATCTGGAAATATGGCCTTGGTGCTCTGTTTTGATTCTCTTTGCTCGCCTGTGAAAACAGCCTTGACATGATGTATCTTGAGACATGCTTATTTTACGAGTAGTAAGACCTGTTCAGCTTAGGTGTCAGCAACAATCATTCCTAAAAGAAAGTGTTGAAGAACATTCATTTATGTTAGGTGAAGGATTAGTGCTCTGGGGCCCTTCTTCTCTAAACAAGAAAAGATCTCTGCACTTTTTCCTCTGAAGTGCTATCTCTTATGAATCGATTCCTACTTTGATTTGTTTAGAGAAAAATATGTAGCTTAGCTTGAAGGACTGACTTCTTTCTAGAACAGGCCCATTTCCTATTTAAAACCTACTTACTCAAGCTCTCTGCCTTGTGCTGTGGGTAGTGGTGTCATGGCACAAGCCCTTTTCTATCTAATTGCTGAACACAGAGGTGAACATCCTCACATGCATGACTTGGAATTGCAGATGTGAAATGGAGGAGCAGGATTCTATGCCTAAACTAGAGGCACTCAGGCACTCCAGGGCACATGGGAGCTGTGGGAATATTGATGCACAGCAAACTAGAGTTCCATGGAGCCCTTCCTGACCCACGTCCCTGAGAAAGAAGATAGCAAGATGCAGGACAAGAGTTTATGATCTCTGAAGCCCACCTGGAAGGCCAAGGATTACTGCTCTAAAGTGACTGTTCTGGAGGCAGGGAGTGGCAGGTTGTGCATGGAGCATTAGATCTGGGGTGGGATCAGGTGAGGAAAGACATTTCAGGGGACTCATAATCATATCTCTCTTACTTCTAATCTTTACAATGTAGTGTTAATTATTAATTGAAAGCAGAACTGTGCCAAATTATAATGGCACTGAAGTGCTATAAACCTGGAGTAATTCTGCTTAAGAGTAATCCAAAACATTTCTGCTTTTTTCCTGTGCAGTCAAGATCATAATGCTGACAGATAACAAACACAGGGGAAGGAGTCAGCAACTTTGGGCCAGATGGAGAAGCTGTTATGTGAAGCCTGGGTGGGTCTTTCACCTGCTGCACTGAAGACATGAAGTTTCCACATTCCTCTCTGCAATGTTCCACCAAGTGGACTTAGGTAGCTGATAAGACCAATGCCATTAGGTGCCATCTAGGAGAAAATCTAACTGGTAGAATAATATTTCAAAGGTGGAAAGTCTGATGCTTATTGGCTGATGCTCCATGGAAAGCTCAGCAACGTGCCCTATATATTGCCAGAGAAGAGAGGGACCAGCTTCTGTTCCCATTGCAAGAATGGGCTCCAGCATCTTCCCACTCTGCCTGACACTTCTGCTGTGTTCTGTCTATGGTTCTCCACTCTCTGTAAGTAAAACCTAATTCTACAGGCTCCTCTCAGTCCAGAGGCATCTCATACCTTATACGGGTTGTATTCCATTCTTCTCCAGGTGGGACAGCTCTCCAGTGAAACTGGTAAGTGCTGTGTGAGCTGGTTTGAGGTTTGAAGCATTTCCTTCTACTTGCTGTGAGCCACCACATCCAAACACTTTATGTTTTGACTGTCTTGCAGATGCTGGAGCTAGTGAGATATTCAAAGACATTCCCCAAATCAACTTGGGTGAGTTCACACTTAAATTCTCACAAGGCCTGAAAAGTTGTGAGCATTATGCTGAGTTTTCAGTGTTGTCAAGGAGGCTGATAGCCAGGTAGCTCATGGTAACAAGAGAATTAAAATCAAGTGCGCTCAGGATTACCTTTCTCTCTCTGTGACACCTGAATATTTCCAGAAAGAACTCTGCAGTCTCAACTGCATTTTCTGCCCATCTCCATATGATTTTTATAAAGTGTTGTAAACATGGAAAACAACTTAGATTGGTCACTGTCCAATTGTGTGACTCTTGTCACTGCCTGAGAGCAAGCAGAGCTCATCAAAGCTCTATCCATGACCACGGGTAATTGTGCCAACACAAAGGCACTGCCAAGAAGACATTGCTAAGAAGTAAATATTGACTAGAGACTAGAAACTGCTGTTACTTTTATTATTACCTGTAACTCAGTGTATAGAGGCTGGTCCTTATTTATCTTCTGTAGATGCCCAAGGACATTAACTTTGTATAAGCAGGTTCAATGTGGTTTATGGAATGAAATATAATTGAAATTCATTGACACTATCTTTGATTAAATTCTATTTCAGCTGCTGGACTGGACCTCTTTCAGGGTGATATCTTGCTCCCTGTAAGTAATTAAAAACTTTCTGTTGCTTGTCCTAATTGTTTCAGCTCATCTCGCTACAGTAGATGCATCACCAACTGTTAATTCCCTTTTCAGAAAAATCAGCGAAATGCCTTAAGAAATGAGGCTTACAGATGGAAGTTCCCCATTCCCTATATTCTGGGTGATGACCTAGGTAATGCAGATACTTTATTCAGATTTTATCTCCAATCCTTATTTGCACTACAGTCACTGTGATAAAAAATTTGCCTTTTTCAGAACTGTTTCAAATTAAAAATGTTAAACTTCACTAATAACTACTTAATGTAGTCTTGTTTATATCAAAATTATTTTTCTTTCTTCTACAGATAACACAGCAAACCATAACTTAGTCAAATGAAATAATTTCTCTTTTCAATCATTTTTCCTTTGGTTCCACATGTGTATCTGTACATATTTTGCCCCATCCAAGGTGAACAAACTGCAATGTATTAAAGGTTCTGTCCTTGTTTTCCAGACCTGAATGCCAAAGGAGTCATTCTCCAGGCATTTGAAATGTTCCGCCTGAAGTCCTGCATTGATTTCAAGCCATATGAAGGAGAAAGAACCTACATTTTCTTTAGGAAACAAGATGGGTAAGGGTAGTATCAATTTCTGTTTAGTTTTGCCGTGTAGAATCAGCTGGGAACTCATTCCATTTTCTAAAGGTTTGCTGTCAGCGGAGAAAAAGAAGCCACCGGGAAAAGAACTCATTCTATGTTCTTAGACTAAAACCTTGCAAGCAGCTGCTCCCTCTGCTGTTATTTAGAGGATGAGCTCTGAAGGTGAATCCCAGCCTGTCTGGGTTTTCCATTTTGATGAAGACCTCCGTGTACATCCTTTTAACTTACCAAGAATGTGAATGTGAATAGCTAGAATTTAAGTCTGGAAATTATTAGAAGATGGGAAGAGGAGAGGGAGAGGGAGAG